ATAAAAATTTAAATAAATTCTAATCAACCAGCATAAGTATTTCACTGATTTCTGTCCCACTGCCAATTTGGTGTTTAAACAAGTAGAAACAAGAGAAATATGAATTTATAATATGTATTTATAATTTTTTAAATTTTTCTTGTATCTCCAGAAGCATCTCCTGCATATAAGCTTTGACTGTAAGATCTATGACTCAGATATTTTTTTAAATGCCATGAATTTACTCACCCCAAGGTAGAGTTTGATGCTAGTGGAGCAAATAGTTTCACCTTCTGAGCAAGGGATGTTTTCAGTGCGGATCCTGAAGGTACCATTCACATTGTCTCCACAGTAATCCTGCACCAGTTTTAAATCAGTTTAACAAAACTACTTCAACACAATGGCAAAAAAATAAAAAAATATCACAACTGACTATACCTGAGAGAAAATATAGCCACACTCCCCCTTGAATGCAAATTTCTTTTGATCAAAAGTGATGTAATGCCCCTCTCCATAAATGGTACAGGTCCCACCACAGTCATTTTTAGTGCATTCCCATTTCCTGTTTCTGCATTTGCTAAATTATAAATAAACACGTAAAGTTACCAATCAGACAAGTATGTATGCTATGAAATCAAGCATCTTAACTCACCATTTATTGCAGTCGTCAGTGATTTCTTCTCCTGGATTGTAATATTTTCCACCATGTGGGCAGGGACAGTCCTCCTCGTTCACACAGCCTCCAATCCCATTGGACAGCAGGCCACTGGGACACACACACCCAGAGACACACTGGGAACTTACCTGTGAAGTAGGATTTGTTATTCACTTCCTTAAACATTAATGTGTACTTCACTTAGAGGTACTAATGAACAAGCGCCACAGTCTTACACTTTCAGAGTCGAGTGTCTGACAGCTCCTCTGGCTCTCTGATCCCTTTTCGCCCGACTTTGCATCGGAGCAGTTGAAGAACACCATTGGACTGATGCATGCTGATGACAGTGATGAAATGTTAAAAGGAATATCTGTTAATTCTGCTCATCTTCACTGAGTGTTTTTTTTATTTTTTTTTACTTACACTGGCTTTTTTGTTGTCCTTTACAATGTAATTTCCCAGCGTGGCAGGAGCTGATTTACAGGACAGACATGAAATACATTAAGCAGAAATATACATAAAACAAAATAAAAAGTATTATAAAGACTTTAAAAAAGTACGGAAAAGCAGCATTTTATCCTTGAAGTGTATGTTTTAAATTGAATAAACGTTCCCTTTATACTTTGAAAAGGCTGAATGCTGAACCTGAGCTCCTCCTAAAAGTTCAGGATTTACAGCAGATGTTAGATTAAACAAACAGATGTCAGCTACAATAGTTTACTGTAAGGGTAACATGATAAAGCCCATATTCTGATCCTTAAATTAAATAATACTACTCATACTTCAGTGATAGTATCAAGGTGTTTATTGAGTCTCTTATCCCATGTCTGTTGGTTGTGCTGTTCTTTTTACATCACTTTGCAGGTGATGAAGCAGACTGAAGATCCATTAAATGCCTCTTTAACTGTTAATCAGGGCTGCTTCCTGAGAGGTGAGCAGCTGCCTTCTGTGACTCTAAGCAACTTCTCTGATCTGAGCAAGATTACAATTTATATCCAAATCTGTTTTCATGTCTCCTGGTTATTTATTACATACATGTTAGGAAGTGTTATTTGAAGAGTTTGTCCCCAGTGATCTTTTTTTTTCAGGAAAAAGAAACGGAGAGATGGAGCTTAAAGATGCAGACACACAGAGCCTATCTTTAACACAGGCAAAAGAAACAGCGATACAACTGCTGGCTAGATAAACGATTTTTAGGTATGAGGAGAATCATGCGACCGGTTAATTCCTGTTAAATCAAAATTTCTCATTTTTAAATAGTCTAAATTTAATTTATTGGGTTTAATTGTTATATTTATTCAACTCTCCTTCTTTATTAAATTATTATTCAGATAGTTCACCTTTGCCTTGTATGTCAAGTCTGACCTTCAGAGAAAATTAAAAACTTAAAATAGAATTCAATAGTTATTGGATTATGGCACTGTCAACATTGGCACTCAGCCTGCACAAGATGAACAGTATCTGAACATATCTGCTCTTCTTGAGTATTATTTTGTAAATAAAGTCAATTAGGCATAAATACATATCTAAAAACATGTACTGTCAGAGTCTTGGTCTGTTTGTTCCTGTTTTTCTTGGTTTTCCATTTGTTGTCCTCTGCTGCCCTCTTGTGTCCTCCCTTGCTCTGTTTCTCTGTTCTGCCTGCACCTGTTTTCAATTCCCTCGTCAGCTCTCTCTTTGTCTCTGTCCCCTTTAAAAGCCCTCCCTCTTCAGTTCCTGTTTGCTGGATCCTCGTCTTACTTCCCGTGTACTGTATCATCTGCCTGCCTTGT